TAGTGCTCAATAGTGCGATCGTGAGAAAAAAGATCGGATTCGTCACTGTACTTGGTCGCATGCCTTCACCATTCTCTTTGGAGATCTCTCAAAAGTTTTTGTTTTTTTTTGAGAAAGGTTACCCAAGGAGGGAGATGATGTCAAAATGACTAAAATGCCCTCGATGTTAATGTAGAAATGGTATATCGATTCAAGTTTCGCTGGAATTTGTTTTAACATTCATGATCTGTTCTTCCAAATGAAAAGTGAACATTTCTACTCTTTCCTACTTTATGCATGATTCTATTTACAAGGCTTCGAGATTCTGTTTCATGAGTTGTGCAATGATTGTTATAAGCTCTTAAACATACCATTAACCAACGAAGAGTTTTTACTTCAACGAAACTAAATAGGGAAGATCTGTCAAAAAACAACAAGGACGAAGGAAAGAAAGCAAAACAACAGATACAGGGAATAGAGTACAGTATCAAAACCGGTTTACGGGTGTTTTTAGTCTTCTTCCTCTCCCTCGTTCTCAGCGATGTTGAAGTACCTCAACTCGTAGAGGTTACGNTCCTTGTTGGCTGCAATCACTCTGAGCCAATCCCTCACATTGTGCTTCTTCAAGTACTTCTTTGTCAAATACTTGAGATACCTAAAACAAGAATTACAATCACATTCTATCAGGTACTAAGACTGAAACAGGATGATAAAAAATCTACAGGAAAATGGCAGACTAAGAGATTGAGACCACTAAGTTAAACAAAATCCGAGCTTGCTCAATGACTGTTTATACCTTTTAGAGAAGTGGCCATCAGAAGTGACAGTGATCTTGTTCTTGTCACGGGTGATTTTAACCGAATCGCCGAGTGCACCAGCTTTGCCGCCGACTTTGATCCTCTCCTGAAGAAACTTCTCGAGGGAAGCAATCTCCATGATCTTGTCATCGACAGGCTTGGAACAATCGATGGTGAAGGAAACCCCCTTCTTCTTTCCCTTTGCAACAGCTGCACTTCCTCCACGACTCATTTTTCAACACTACAAATCCAAAAACACAATCCATCCTTAAAGAGTACTGTTTATAGATTATTGAAAATGTACACATACCAATACATACAAGCATTTAGAATACGGATGAACAATCCTAAAATACATTTTCAAGAACTCAAAACCTACAGCGAAATCTGCGTCTCAAAAATGAGAATCCAGACTTTCTATATGCGAATTTCAACCTAACCTCGTCAATTACACTCTCAGTAGACGAATCAAAAGCAACCCAAAAACACTAAAAATTCCTTATTTTCTTCAATCTTCAAATCTCGCGAGTTCAGACAACCGAATCTATTACAGAAATCGAAGAGTGTTCCACTAGTCTCAGCTTACCTTGAACGAACGAACCCTAGAAGCTGGAAATGTCTGAAGAGAGGAGGCGGCGTTATTTTGAACTTCTTGAACGAAAGAACTGAACAAATCTTTAGGGCTTTTGAGTCTTGTAATGTTCTTTCTGTAAATAACGTTAACCTCCCCAAATTTTGCTTAAATCTCAAAATAACCCCCAAACGTTCATATATATGGAACCAAAGCCCATCATTCTTATCAACAAGTGGAACTTTCTAGGTAACCCACCAAACAAATGCTAGTTTTTTTTAGCATTGGTTTAGTTCGATTTCGTTTTCGGTTCCACTTGGGTTTTAGCTAGAGATATCATTAGGTTTCAAAATATTTCGATTTTGATCTTATTTTTTTACCATTCGGTTCGGATTCGAGTTTGGATTTTTGGATCTAGAGAAAGTAAATCTTTTTAAGTCATACTAAATGATTGTTTGTTTTTTAGGTCAGTTATTTTCATTTTGTTCGAGATATTGTTCATCAACAATAACAACAAGATCAAACTCATGCGTCTCCTCAATTTCGACTAGATATTATTATTATTTTTTTTTTAAAGAGCAAAATGTAGACATTACATCTCGAACTACATAGGATTACAGAAAACTTCTCAAACCAATCAACCATAGCACGATTAGTCACCGAATCTTTGAAATATGTAAACACATACATGCAAACATATCTTGACATAGTCCTCAGGACTATCACAGTTTTCAATCCTGGAAACTGCACAAAATCAAATACCTTCTACATCTTTGAAAAGAATATCTTCAAACTTTTCAGGATAGTAGAGACACTCTCTTAGAGTAGATCTGAGTTGAACATGCTCACGGAGAAGACGAGAGTTCCCCTTCAGAAGAAGAGAGTTCTTTCCCTAGATGATGAGAAAAGCGGTGAGTAGAAGATATTGGACGAGACGGAGAAGACGAGTAGAACTGTTTACCAAAAGATTCTGATTTGGAGGCTGCAGCTCCCAATCTCGGCATCATAGGGTTCACCTTCGCCAAAACTGACCGGGCCAATCTGAGTGCCATATCGTCCAAAATTAAGGTTTTTCCTAGAATAAACTTTTTAAAAGAAGTAAAGAGGCATTCTAGCTATTTTGCAGTTTAGCAGGAGATGGTCCTTTGTTTCTGCAAGTAAGCTGCATTTGCAGCAAAGACCTGTCGTGCTAACTCTCCATTGCAAGAGACGAACTTTTACTAGGAGACGATCCTTTTGTGCGATCCAAAAGGTGAAGGCTTGTTTCGAAATGTGACCCTTGAACCAGACAACCTTATCTCATTGAACCCTAGGAACCGATGGTCTTAAAGTATCCCAAGTATCAGAAGAGAAAAACGAAAAATACCATAAATACTTGTTTTTCAATAGTTTGAGTCTGCCCCTTTATAGTCAGTCAGAATAGTTATCAAGAAAAGCAACCGGAACAGCTATTATTTATTATTATCTAATTATCAAATAGATAATCATTTTGATTTAATTTATTTCTTTCGTTTTGTAGCTGATATTTTGCAGCATTTTGTCAATGAAGTACTCACTCATCATCAAGTTATGTTTTTACTTCTCAATGAAGAAATGAAAATCGACAACAATGTTCCTCAAAGACCTCTGAATGGAGCTCCCAAACAATCGATTTAAATGCGTAGGACGGCCACAACTATAACTACATATTTCAAAATGTGAGAAATCTGTTTTTGGTTTGCTGAAAACATGTTGTCAAGAATATTGTTGCAGCTAAATAAGATTCTGGTTTATATTCATTTGATCCATTTTTAATGTTGTCTCTAATATTCAGTTTTTCTCCCTTTCAATCAACTAATCGTAAAGTATAATCCTTTTTTTTGTTTCACAAAGTGATAGTTAGAGATAATTTTTTAAGTTTATATATAAATATAATAGTCGTAATTTGTACACACTTGGTCCACAAAATTAATTATTATGAAAGTTAGAAATGAACAAGGCAATTTGATGAAGAACATGAAGCTAAAGTCTCCCCAACAAACATCTATAACTTTCACGGATTTTATTATAAAAAGAACCACATTTTTCATAGAAAAAAACCAAAATCCAATTCAATGAATTAGAAAAGCATAGAGATAAGAGATTTATCATTATAAAAATAGAAACTATGGGTTTACAAAAACTAAACTATGTATCTGAGTTGAGAAGTTTTTGTCCAACTTCAACTCGATTCAGCATTGTCGATATTTTGTAAAAGTCTTCAAGATAGAGTGATCTATTGATTTCTCAACTCGACCATGCACGTTTTCCACTTTCTGGTCTAGCTTATTATGTATGAAAGTTTTGGGGTTATTTTGAGATTTAAAGAAAACTTGGGGGAGGTCAACGTTATTTATAGAAAGAAAATTACAAGGACCTCAAAAACCCTAGTTGTTTGTTCTGTTCCACTTCTTTTCTCGTTCAAGAACTTCAAATCGGCGACTCGTCTCCTCAGACATTTCCACCTTCTAGAGTTTGTTCGTTCAAGGTACAATCTCTCTGTAATGTAACACTCTTCGATCTCCGTTATAGATTCGCGAGATTTGAAGATTGAAGAAAAGAAGCAACTTTTAGTTTTTTTGGTTGAGCTTTTGTTTCGTCTATTGAGAGTGTAATTGACGAGGTTAGGTAGAAATTGGCATACAACAAGTCTCGATTCTCATTTGATTTTGCTTTGAATTCCATAGTTTTTGAGTTCTTGAAAATGGGGAATAAATGTATATAGGATTGTTTATCCGTATCAAGAAGCCATGTTTAAATGCTTGTGTTTGTATTGGTATGTTTACATTTTCAATGATCTATAAACAATACTCTTTAAGGATGCATTTGTGTTTGTTTTTGGATTTGTAGTGTTGAAAAATGAGTCGTGGAGGTGCAGCTGTTGCCAAGGGAAAGAAGAAGGGAGTTTCCTTCACTATTGATTGTTCCAAGCCTGTTGATGACAAGATCATGGAGATTGCTTCCCTAGAGAAGTTTCTTCAGGAGAGGATCAAAGTCGGCGGCAAAGCTGGCGCACTTGGTGATTCGGTTAAAATCACCCGCGACAAGAACAAGATCACTGTCACTTCTGATGGCCACTTCTCCAAAAGGTATAAACATTTGTCGAACAAGTTCTGCTATCTTCCTCTAGATTTGTGATCATCCTGTTTCAGTCTTAGTACCTGATAGAAACTGATTGTTATTCTTCTTTTAGGTATCTCAAGTATTTGACAAAGAAGTACTTGAAGAAGCACAATGTGAGGGATTGGCTCAGAGTGATTGCAGCCAACAAGGANCGTAACCTCTACGAGTTGAGGTACTTCAACATCGCTGAGAACGAGGGAGAGGAAGAAGACTAAAAACACTTGTAAACCGGTTTTGCTTAGAACTATTCTCTATTCCCTGTTTCTGTTTCTTTCCTGGTTCTCTATACATTTATCTTCGTCTTTGTTGTTTTTTTTTTCGACATGTTGTTTAGTTTGGTTGAAGTAAACTCTCGTTGGTTATGGTATTTTTAAGAAACTCTACCTCCGCAATAACCTCATTAGTAGTGAAGTTTGGTTTGGGGAGTCTCCTCATCGAACCACTTGTGTTTTTGTCCATAACTCCTACGTATAACAATCATTGCACAACGAATAAAGCTTCGAAGCCTTGTAAATATAATCATGCATAAGAATTTGATATAAATAAAGGGCATTGGCTTCTTCTTCTTTTTTTTTTTGACTTGAAACAAGTCTTAAAAGTACGCTAAAAAGAAAGCAAACTTTGAGGAAATGGTAAAAAGGTAGAACCTATATTATTTTCATTTATGTTTACAAGAACCTAAACAACATAAAGTTATGGCAATGCAACATTAGAATCCTAATAGAAAAGATTGAAAGATGCGACTACAAAGATTCTCTAACAATGATATCATGCAATCAAGATGGACAACCAAAAACTAAATATGTTAATTTCTCTGAATCGTTATATACATAAAAAATCAAACACATCAAAACTTTGGATCTTTTTTATTTATCATTTCATTACATTTTATGTTTAAGTCCACATCTCAAGACGCATCTGTATGGACCACATATGGGTTGATGAGCCCTAAACATCTAAATGGATGCATAGTACCTAAAACTTATCTGAATCGTAATAAATATAAATTTGGTCCTCTCCTCACCCTTTTCTTTTGCTCTTACAACATATTTGAATGATATGTGGGTTTTTCAAGGGTTTAAATATAGAAATCTGATTATTGGGTACTTATATATGTTCTTGGTTCCATCTCTGTTTCTAATCTTGAGTACTCTCTTTCTTACAACACATCTCATTTATAACGTTACTTTGCTGCTCGCAATAGGACTCTTGCCGGAAAATAAGCCGTCGTTGTTTTCATCTTCTCCATGGCCAGTTCTAGCAACGAAGCTGATTTATCGGGTTTGTTTTGAGTGGCTCTCTCTTGTGTAATCCCTTTTATATATACCCACTTGCTTGGCTGAAGATTTTAACTTAGGTAAGCGAACCCCAGAAGATGATGATTTGGAGACCAAACTGATTCTGAAGAAACATAAGGAACGATCCGAGGAGGACAAGGTGACCTAAGATCTATTGTTCCTTTGACAAGAATTTTCTCTACTGTTATTTGCATATGTTGCACAAAAGTTTTATGTTCTTATTATCTCCAAAATGTGACTACTCATGTAACAGGAGACAATGGAAGGACTTGATCAAGCTCCTAATTTTGTTGAGGTACATTTTCTTATTATCTTCAAAATATGAAGAAACGCTTAGCGTTTAATATCACAACTGTTGCCACAAGTCGGAAGATGTTTAAGTAAGTTCATATATGCACATCATCTAATTGG